AGCACAGACATACATATCCCGACTTGATTAGCAACAACTATCATTGAAATAGTAACATATATATATACAGTTGTGTTCAAAGTAATATCAGTCAGACATCACTAACCGGATCAATCACTGTTTTTGGTAGAAATGATATTTCTACATGGCAAATAATTTCCTAGCAGGTGTAGTAGAGTAATAGAAATCCAACAGACCCAACAGTCATGACATGCATGCTGCTGATTCTGTGTCATTGAATCACTCATTGAAAGGGGCGTGTTCAATATAATAGCAGTGTGGAGTTCTATTAGTGAGGTCATTCATTCTTTGAAAAACAGGTGGCAATTATTGCCCTTATTTAAGGAAGGAAGGCAGCAAATGTTGGACATGCTGGTTACAGCGCATTTCTCTCTGAAATTCTGAGGAAAATGGGTCGTTCCAGACATTGTTCAGAAAGAACAGCGTACCTTGATTAAAAAGTTGATTGGAGAGGGGAAAAACATATAAAGAAGTGCAGAAAATGATCGGCTGCTCAGCGAAAATGATGGCAAATGCTTTAAAATGGCAACCAAAATCTGAAAGACGCGGAAGAAAGCGAAAAACTACCATTGGAATGGATAGAAGAATAGCCAAAATGGGGCGGACTCAGCCAACAATCAGCTCCAGGAAGATGAAAGAAGGTGTGACGTTCCCTGTGAGGACTGTTACAATTAGAAGACGCCGATGTGAAGCCAAGCTATCTGCAAGAAGTCCCCGCAAAGTCCCACTGTTGGGAAAAAGACGTGTGCTGAAGAGGATACAATCTGCCAAAGAGCACATTGACTGGCCTAAAGAGAAATGGCGCAACATTTTGTGGACTGATGAAAGTAAGATTGTTCTTTTTGGGTCTAGTGGGCGGAGACAGTTTGTCAGACGACCCCCAAACACTGAATTCAAGCCACAGTACACTGTGAAGACCGTGAAGCATGGTGGTGCAAGCATCATGATATGGGGATGTTTCTCATACTACGGTGTTGGGCCTATTTATCACATACCAGGGATCATGGATCAGTTTGAATCCATCAGAATACTTGAAGAGGTCATGCTGCCTTATGCTGAAGAGGAAATGCGCTTGAAATGGGTGTTCCAACAAGACAACGACCCCAAACACACCAGTAGACGGGCAACATCTTGGTTCCAGACCAACAAGATGGGCGTTATGGAGTGGCCAGCCCAATCCCCGGATCTTAATCCAATAGAAAACTTGTGGGGTGACATCAAAAATGCCGTTTCTGAGGCAAAACCAAGAAATAGAGAAGAACTGTGGAATGTGGTCCAATCATCCTGGGCTGGAATACCTGATCACAGGGGCCAGAAGTTGGGTGACTCCATGCAACACAGATGTACAGCAGTTCTCAGAAACAGTGCGACTGCAACCAAATATTCATGAAGTCATTCAAAGGAAAGCAAAATCTTCAAACATTTCTCAGTTTATATAGTGAATGTTTGAGTTTGTAAAGAAGAATACAAACACTGCGATTTTTTTTGAACCGTCTAATATTCACTTTTCTTCCATTTTTTTTAGAGGAACAACACAAATTTGATGTATTTTTCTTCATGTTGTGATTTGGAATAGAATGTGTCGTGTTCCCAATGCATTTGTGTGGATGGAAATAAAAGCTATTAGAAGGATTTTCAGCTTTATTCACTTTTTTCAACACACTGCTATTATTTTGAACACAACTGTATACACACACACAATATATTGCCCAAAGTATTGGCCCGCCTGCGTTTCCACGGAAATGAACTTTAATGGTTTCTTGTAGCAATTGTGCACACAGAGATGGACGCGGTAATCCATCTTGCTAAGGATCCTCCACCTTGTATCATTCTCTCCCTCCAATCCCCCTCCCTCAGGAATGTGGTCTGTATGTATGCTGAGATCACAGGCATCAGGCCCAGCAGGGTAGCTTCATGGTTATAAACCCCAATTAGCCTGGGCCCAGGATGTCTGTGAAACTCTTATTTATTTATTATTTATTTCAGGTACTTATATATCGCCATCGATGTACGCAGCACTTTCCATATATATTGTACATTCATATCAGTCCCTAACCCTCAAGGAGCGTACAATCTAACGTCCCTAACTCACATTCATACATACACATACTAGGGCCACTTTAGACAGGAGCCAATTCACCTACCAGCATGTCTTTGGAGTGTGGGAGGAAACCGGAGTACCCAGAGGAAGCCCACGCAGGCACAGGGAGAACATGCAAACTCCAGGCAGGTGGTGTCGTGGTTGGGATTTCGAACCCACGACCCTAGTGCTGCAAGGCGGAAGTGCTAACCATTTAGCCACTGTGCCGCCCACCTCTTGATCTGAAGCGAATCGTAAAGCCATAAACCAGTCCTTCACTGGACTTCAAACGCATTCCGAGATAGCCGTAAACCAGACATCACATTTAAAACCCACTTTTCCATATAATTTCATATCTTAAGCTAGGAAATAGCTACAATGAAGCAAAGTATATATTCGGATAGCTCAGTTTAATGTGAGTCGCCTGATATCTTACACCCCTAGTTGAAGTCTACAGGAGAGCAGAAAGCCATATAGTTCTAGCTGAAATAGTAAGATATGGCATGTTTGATATCTAGACGTTCAGCAGATGATTCTGCATATTAATCTACTAGTGGCTAGGCTGCTACATGTCCCTAGGGAAGGTTATTGACCATGGTATAACTTGGGAGGGATTTGGTCATAGCCTGAGTTCCCCGTCTACAACACCCCTCCCCAAATGAGGAGATTGGTTCTCTGCTTTAAGGAGACACCCTGCTGAGTTCCTAGAAAAGAGGTTGTCAGGTTTGGAGAAGTAAGATGAAGAATTCTCCCTTTTTAACATTGGAACCAACTTTGGGAGAAAAGACACCCTTTTGCTCTGACACTTGAACGCTGCTTAAACCAAGGCTGACGGCAAGTATTCTACCTACCTAAACTTCTTTCTGTTATCTTTTTGCTGTGTTATTGCTCTCTGTATTTATATATATATATATATATATATTGGCTACATCTTTTTCTGTAAATACTTTTGTTGCACCATTTTTACCTTTTTAGCAATAAATCTTATTTTCTGAAAAGTGTTGAACTGTTTCTAAAGCTCTTTAATGCAAGCTAAGAATCCCTGCCTCTGAAGAGCGATACTGTGTGTGTGTTTTAAACCTTTATATACATCTGCCTGTGGTGACAGTGTGTATACAGACGATTATTCAAGCATCATAGTGTTACTGCTAATATCGCCGAGTTTCCTCTTTCTCTGTACAAAAAAGAGGTGGTGGCAGTGTGAAGGGTTAATTGCGTAATTAACCTGACCCAGGTAACCCAGACTCAGGCTGCCGGTACATAGATTGTGGTCCATTAGCTGGAAAATCGTTGTGCAGGGTCCAGCTGAGCGTGGCATTGTTACGCACGTGACATCGCGGTTTTAGATTGGCTAGTCCTTCGGTCACGAGTTGGTGAGAAGTGCTGGGGGGTCTGACGCCGCGCACCGTCACACATCCCAGTCGAATGCAGGCCATACACGGGTTGAATTCAGAGCAAATTTTCTTTAGAAAATCGGACGTTTTGTGCATTTTGTAACCCGATGGTCCCGCCATTGATTTAGAAATTCAAACAACCGAGCCTTCAATTTCCCATTGTGTTGCTGTAGAAAAGAATTTTCAGGGCCAAGAATGTTCTCTTCTTTCCAGCTCACAGCTCGTTTCTTTTTCGTTTATAATTCTCGCACGATTCTCCCATCATTGATTCAAAATTGGTTAGTTTTTCAAAAAATTCCAACATGCCCAATCACTGAAATTTGATGATCGCTCAAAATTGGCCATTTCTGCAACCCACTAATGGTGCAAAATTCAAAAGAAAATTCTTAGAAAAGATTTTTGAAAGAAAATTATTTCGGAATTCGACCAGCTCATGGCCGGCTTTAGTCCTTAGGGTTCAATATTGGGTTGGCCCCGCCCTTTGCAGCTATAACAGCTTCAAACTCTTCTGGGAAGGCCGTCCACAAGGTTTAGGAGGGTGTCTATGGGAAGGTTGGACCATTCTTCCAGAAGCACATTTGTCAGGTCAGGCAATGATGTCGGGGGAGGAGGCCTGGCTCACAGTCTCCGCTCTAATTCATCCCAAAGGTGTTCTATGGGGTTGAGGTCAGGACTCTGTGCAGGGCCAGTCAAGTTCCTCCACCCCAAACTGGCTCCTCCATGTCTTTATGGACCTTGCTTTGTGTACTGGTGCGCAGTCATGTTGGAACAGGAAGGGGCCATCCCCAAACTCTTCCCACAAAGTTGACTTAAGAGTTCCCTTCACTGGAACTAGGGGGCCAAGCCCAACCCCTAAAAAACAACCCCACACCATATTCCCCCCCCCCCCCCCACCAATCTTTACACTTGGCACTATGCAGTCAGGCAAGTACCGTTCTCCTAGCAACCGCCAAACCCAGACATGTCAATCGGATTGCCAGACAGAGAAGCGTGATTGGTCCCTCCAGAGAACACGTCTCCATGCCCTAGAGTCCAGTGGCGGCGTGCTTTACACCATGGCATCTGCCGCTTTGCATTGCACTTGGTGATGGAAGGCTTGGATGCAGCTGCTCGGCCATGGAAACCCATTCCATGAAGCTCTCTACGCACTGTTGTTGGGCTCATCTGAAGGCCACAGGAAGTTTGGAGGTCTTTAGCTATTGACACTGCAGACAGTTGACGACTTCTGCGCACTGTGCGCTTCAGCATGCGCTGACCCCGCCCTCTGTCATGTGACGTGGCCTACCACTTGGTGGCTGAGTTGCTGTTGTTCCCAGTTGCTTCCACTTTGTTATAATCCCACTAACAGTTGAGCGTGGAATATTTAGTAGCCAGGAAATGTCACGGATGGACTTATTGCCCAGGTGGCCACCTATCACGGGACCACGCTTGGAGTCACTGAGCTCCTGAGAGCGACCCATTCTTTCACCAATGTTTGTAGAAGCAGTCTGCATGCCTAGGGGCTTGATTGTATACACCTGTGTCCATGGAGGGGATTGGAGCACCTGAATCACATGATTTGGAGGGGATTGGGACACCTGAATCACATGATTGGGAGGGGATTGGGACACCTGAATCACATGATTGGGAGGGGATTGGAGCACCTGAATCACATGATTGGGAGGGGATTGGAGCGCCTCATTCACATGATTTGGAGGGGATTGGAACACCTAAATCACATGATTTGGAGGGGATTGGAACACCTGAATCACATGATTGGGAGGGGATTGGGAGCACCTGAATCCATGATTGGGAGGGGATTGGAGCGCCTCATTCACATGATTTGGAGGGGATTGGAACACCTGAATCACATGATTGGGAGGGGATTGGAGCTCCTGAATCACATGATTGGGGAGGGGATTGGAGCTCCTGAATCACATGATTGGGAGGGGATTGGAGCACCTCATTCACATGATTTGGAGGGGATTGGAACACCTAAATCACATGATTTGGAGGGGATTGGGAATCACATGATTGGGAGGGGATTGGAGCACCTGAATCACATGATTTGGAGGGGATTGGAACACCTGAATCACATGATTGGGAGGGGATTGGAGCACCTGAATCACATGATTGGGAGGGGATTGGAACACCTGAATCACATGATTGGGAGGGGATTGAAGCACCTGAATCACATGATTTGGAGGGCGGGGACAATACTTTCGGCAATATACTGTGTATACAAGGGGCGTTCAAGTCAAACTGGGACTAATGCTGCCCAATTTCCTTTAGATTTACCTTCAACTATCAAAGGTCGGCATAACTGGATACAACTGAAAGTGTTGTTCATGTTTAACCTCATATTATGTGGTTTTTGGTAAATCTAAAGCAAAAATCTCAAGAACATTGAATAATGTATGGCCAGCCTTAGTACTGCTTGGACCTTGAGTCCGGGTTCACATATATGCGGTGCGGTATATCGCATGTAATTCACACAGGAACCGCACCGCATTCCTGTACCAATCACATGCGATTTGTGTGCGGTGCGATCGGAGCCGTACATTATGTATGGTTCTAACCGCACCAAAAGCATGCAGGACCCTTTCTTGGGTCCGCACTAGAATCGAATGACACGGGTATTCACACCAATGAGATCCGATTCTTCACATCGCACCGCGTTTTGCGAACCACTTTCAGGGTGTTGTTAGCATCCACACCCGCAGCGGTTCGCATGAACGGGGTGCGATTCTGATGCGGTGCGGAACTCACACAGAAAACACTGCAAATTCAGTGTGAACCCGGGCTGACCCTCAGTTCTTATCTGTGCAGGTGGTGACGTTGCAAGACCCGCACCAATACCTGCAGCTGCACCACCCGCACAGAGGAATGCGGGACATTAATGCCGGGTTCACATACATGCGGTGCAGAATATCTCATGATTCGCACAGGAACCGCACTTTATTCCTGCGCCAATCACATGCGATTTGTGTGCGGTGCGATCGGAGACGTACATTTTGTATGGTTCAAATCGCACCGCACGCGCACCAACAACATGCAGGACCCTTTTTTTGGTCCGCACTAGAATCGGATCGTATGAGTGTTCACACCTATGAGATCCGATTCTACACATCGCACCGCGTTTTGCAGACCAATGTCGGGTGTTGTTAACTTAATATACACCAACGCAGCGGTTCGCATGAACGGGGTGCGATTTTGATGTGGTGCGGAATTCGCACAGAAAATGCTGCGAATTCCGCACCGCATCAGCATGAACCAGGTGCGGACTGACAGCTCATGGGGCCCCCGGGCAATAGGGGATCATGGGGCCCCTGTGTCCTTGCCCAAGAACCCCAGAATAGCTGAAGCGCTCTTCAGAGGAGAGACTTTCATTCTCTTTATCCACATCTGTACATAGTTGCTGAGGAGTTTGTCCTCAAGTTCCTACAGTTCCTTGCAGGGACGGACTGTCAACTCATGGGGCCCCCGGGCAATAGGGGATCATGGGGCTCCTGTATCCTTGCCCAAACTCAAAAAAGCCCATGAAAAAGGTACCAGGGGCATCTCATTGGGCCCCCTACTGACCCCGGGCCCTTTTTGACGATAGGCCGATTTTCCTGGCAATGATGGGCAAATCAGCCGATCGTTTTACCGATACAAAATCCACTCATGAGCCGTGACCTGCAAGGGTAGTTATGGGGTGAACTTTATGCTTTAGTCGGCCAATTTTTTTAATAGTTGGTGGTAACGTCGTCGGCCGAACGATTTTTTCGAAAAATCGGCCGATGTTCAACCCGTCTATGTGAACCGAGGGTAAATCTGGTGCAGCTGTGCATGGCAGCCAATCGGCTTCTCCCTTCAGTTTGTTCGATGAATCTTTGACAATAAAACCTGGATGCTGATTGGCTATCGTGCAAAGCTGCACCACATTTTGCACTCTCTGCTTTTAGTAAATCGACCCCCCATGTGTGGCATATTGATCGACCTGGTTGTCAAGTATAGATCAATCAGAAAAGAAATCAATAGCTTCTTGGGAAGTGCATTGGCCACCATAGCAGTCAAACCCAACAGCTAATGAGGAACTACAAGTCCCAGCATTACCTGCCAACCGACCAGCTGGCGGAGGTTCAGCAATGCCACACCCACTTGACCATGGATCATTAATTAACCCTTTCAAGTAACAATTCGATAAGTCCCCAGCAGGGTCGGACTGACAACTCATGGGGCCCCCAGGCAATAGAGGATCATGGGGCCCCTTTTTCCTCGCCAACACCCAAAAAATCCTATGAAAAAGCCAATGAAAGGTACCAGGGGCATCTCATGGGGCCCCCTACTGACCCTGGGCCCTCAGGCAGTGCCCGAGTGCTCGAATCAGGGGCGGACTGACAACTCATGGGGCCCCCGGGCAATAGAGGATCATGGGGCCCCTGTGTCCTTGCCCAAACTCAAAAAAAGCCTATGAAAAAGGTACCAGGGGCATCTCATGTGGCCCCCTACTGACCCCGGGCCCTCGGGCAGTGCCCGAGTATCCAAATGGTCAGTCCGCCCCTGTACCAGGGCATCTCATGGGGCCCCCTTCAGACCCCGGGCCCTCGGGCAGTGCCCGAGTTTCCAAATGCTCAATCCGCCCCTGTACCAGGGGCATCTCATGGGGCCCCCTACTGACCTCGGGCCCTCAGGCAGTGCCCGAGTATCCAAATGGTCATCCGCCCCTGTACCAGGGGCATCTCATGGGGCCCCCTACTGACCCCGGGCCCCCAGGCAGTGCCCGAGTGCTCGAATGGTCAGTCCGCCCCTGTACCAGGGGCATCTCATGGGGCCCCCTACTGACCCCGGGCCCTCAGGCAGTGCCCGAGTGCTCGAATGGTCAGTCCGCCCCTGGTCCCCAGTTATTACAAGTTTCACCTTACCTGATTTTTTGTCGTTCTTCAGACCTCTTCTGGGTTCCGGAGTTCGTTGGGCGCAGTAGCAGACAGCCCCCCGCCGCTCATGGGGACAGCTCTCCGTCCTTCAGAATTTTTTGGGAAAGTTTTTGTAGATCCCAGATGGTTTGTCTCTTTCTTTTAGATCCAGTTTTGGGGGGACAAAAAAAAAAAAAAGGACCGAATTTCTTTTTGTAGGGTTCAGGCTGATCCCCCCCCTCCCAGAATATCAGCGTGTCCTCTTGTGCGGCAGCAGCGAGAAAGAAAAGTCATCTGAAGGGTACCCAGGGAGCCCCTGCGATGGGTGGGAGGGTGTCTGGTGTCTGCAGGCTTCCAGCTTCCAAAATAGACCTTGGTGTCACTTACTGTGGAGCCTGCATTTCATGTGATAGAGGGATGGGGGGGGGAGGGGAGGGGGTCAGGCTGTTCCTCTATTTATTTACAAGGAGGAACAATCACAGGAGGGGGGCTGACATAAGGAAGGACAGGTGGACCGTACAGTGCGAAACGCCCCGCATTCCAACCGCGCTTTTGTTCCAGCAAATTCAAGAAACGTGTTCAAATAAACGGAGGTGCGTTAGAAAGGCGATAGGTTGCGGCTCACCAGTCCTGAAGCCAGGTTTGCGCCTAGCGTTTCGTCAACGTGCGTTTTCGTAAGCGGGTTTTAAGTCTGTTCGCATTTTCGGGCTACGCGTGCAAAGCGACTCATTCATTTCAGTGGGCTGCTCTAGCGCGTGTAACTTTTTGGCCGTCGACCTTTTGACGAGCGTTTTGGCACGTTTGTCGCATTTATTTATTTAATTTAATGTTATTATTATTTAATGTATTATTAAAGTATCATTTTTTGGTGCTACTTAATTTTTATCCAATTTGTTAATGATAACAAGAAAAGCAGTAAAATAGATCCTTTGCAGCCAGCAAAAATAGACCCCCCCCCCCAGCAACAATAGACCCCCCCCCAGCAACAATGGATTCCTCCAGAAACAATGGACTTGACCGCAACAATAGATTCCCCAAATAACAATAGACCCCGGTCACCAACAATAGATCTCCCAGTCCAGCAGCCAGCATTAAAAGACCCTCCAGCAGCCAGCTACAAAGACCCCTCCCTCAACAGTAGATCCCTTCCAACATCATTGAGTCCCCCAGCAGCAACAATAGACCTCCCCACTGTCCCTTGGTTCCATGCCCTACCCACTTCCCAGCACCATCCAGCAGCCAGCTACAACAATTCCTCCCTCAACAGTAGATCCTTTCCAACAACATTTAATTCCCCAGCAGCAACAATAGACCTCCCCACTGTCCCTTGGTTCCGTGCCCTACCCACTTCCCAGCACCCTCCAGCAGCCAGCTACAACAGACCCCCTACCTCAACAGTAGATCCCTTCCAACACCATTGAATCCCCCATCAGCAACAATAGACCTCCACAATGTCCCTTGGTTCCATGCCCCACCCACTTCCCAGCACCGCCCATTTTAGAGAATACAGAACCAAGTATCTTTTTTTGGTGCTAATTAATTTTTATCCAATTTGTTAATGATAACAAGAAAAGCAGTAAAATAGATCCCCTGCAGCCAGCAACAACAGACCCCCCAGCAACAATAGACCCCCCCCCAGCAACAATGGATTCCTCCAGAAACAATGGACTTGACCGCAACAATAGATTCCCCAAACAACAATAGACCCTGGTCAGCAACAATAGATCTCCCAGCCCAGCAGCCAGCATTAAAAGACCCTCCAGCAGCCAGCTACAATAGACCCCTCCCTCAACAGTAAATCCCTTCCATCACCATTGAACCCTCAGCAGCAACAATAGAGCTCCCCACTGTCCCTTGGTTCCATGCCTACCCACTTCCCAGCACCCTCCAGCAGCCAGCTACAATAGACCCCTCTCTCAACAGTAGATCCCTTCCAACACCATTGAATCCCCCCCAGCAGCAACAATAGACCTCCACACTGTCCCTTGGTTCCATGCCCCACCCACTTCTCAGCACCGCCCCTTTTAGAGAATACAGAACCAAGTATCATTTTTGGTGCTAATTAATTTTTATTCAATTTGTTAATGATAAAAAGAAAAGCAGTAAAATAGATCCCCTGCAGCCAGCAACAATAGACCCCCCCCCAGCAACAATGGATTCCTCCAAAAACAATGGACCTGACAGCAACAATAGATTCCCCAAACAACAATAGACCCCGGTCAGCAACAATAGATCTCACAGCCCAGCAGCCAGCATTAAAAGACCCTCCAGCAGCCAGCTACAATAGACCCCTCCCTCAACAGTAGATCCCTTCCAACAACATTTGAATCCCCCAGCAGCAACAATAGACTTATTATTATTATACAGGATTTATGGCACCAACAGTTTGCTCAGCACGCTTTACAATATAACGGGAGACAATACAGCAACAATACAGTTCAATACAAGAGGGATAGGAGGGCATTTAGTTCAGGTACTTACATAGCGCTGTACACACAGTTGTGCTCAAAAGTTTGCATCCCCCTGGCAGAAATTGTGAAATTTTGGCATTGATATTGATAATATGACTGATCATGACACAAAATGCTCTTTTATTGAAGGATGATGATCCTATGAAGCCATTTATTATCACATACTTGTTTGGCTCCTTTTTAAATCATAATAATAACAGAAATCCCCCAAATGGCCGGTTCAGAAGTCTCCCCCCCCCGGATCAGAGGTCCCGCCCCCCGATCAGAAGTCTCTACCCTCGGATCAGAAGTCTCCGCCCCCCGATCAGAAGTCTCCGCGCCTCGGAACAGAAGTCTCCGCCCCCGGATCAGAAGTCTCCGCCCCGGATCAGAAGTCTCCGCCCCCGGATCAGAAGTCTCCGCCCCCTGGAATGTTTTTGGCCTTGGTACAGACACACAAGGTGACACACACGGGTTACAATGCCAATTAGAGGTTAATGTCCCACATCTGTGGCTTTTTAAATTGCAATTAGTGTCAGTGTATAAATAGTCAATGAGTTTGTTAGCTCTTACGAGGAAGCACTGACTAGGCTAGATACTTTTTTATGTCCTTTTCCATCTTTATAAAGTTCCATTACCTTGTTACACAGGACTTCTGACAGTTCTTTTCTGATCCCCATGGCTCAGTATCTAGCCTAGTCAGTGCTTCCACGTAAGAGCTAACAAACTCACTGACTATTTATACACTGACACTAATTGCAATTTAAAAAGCCACAGATGTGGGACATTAACCTCTAATTGGCATTGTAACCCTTGTGTGTCCCCTTGTGATGCAGAGAGGAGGACAGAACTCCTCCTACAGACCCTGCACCTCTCTGTGCAGCTGCAGCACCCCTCATCTCCGCCTCCCCTGGTCCCAGCATTCAGCAGACCCCAGCAGCTCAATTCAGCCCTCCTCCAGTCCTCCTCCAGACCCTGCACTTTCTGCTTCCAAGCTCTGCCCCCACCTTCTTCCCAGCAGAAGTACAAGGTAAGGGGGGGGGGGGGGGTACACTGCTATGTAAGGGAGGGAGGTCTAATATTGCTGACTGCTGGGGGATCTTTTTTTGCTGGGGTTTAATGATGCTGGGGGAGCTATTGCCACAGGGGGAGTCTATTGTTGCTGGGGAGTATGTTGCTGCTGGGGGGGTCTATTGTTGCTGGGGGATCTATTGTTGCTAGTGGAATCTTTTTATTGCTGGGGGATATATTGTTGCTGGAGGGATCTCTTAATACTGGGGGATCTATTGTTACTGGAGGTGGGTCTTATGTTGCTGGGGAGTCAATTGTTGATAGGATAGATCTACTGTTGAGAAAGGGGTCTAATATTGCTGACTGCTGGGGGGGGTCTATTGTTGCTGGCTTTCTTGTTATCATTAACAAATTCTGTACAAATTACTTAGCACCACAAAATGATACTTGGAGGTGGGTAGGGGGCGGAGACAAGGAACAGTGCTCTCAGAGGTGGGTAGGGGCGGAGACAAGGAACAGTGCTCGGAGGTGGGTAGGGGCGGAGTTCCTGCCACTGACACCAATGATGGGGCACTATTCCTCCCACTGACGCCAATGATGGGGCACTATTCCTCCCACTGACACCAACGATGGGGCACTATTCCTCCCACTGACACCAACGATGGGGCACTATTCCTCCCACTGACACCAACGATGGGGCACTATTCCTCCCACTGACACCAACGATGGGGCACTATTCCTCCCACTGATACCAATGATGGGGCACTATTCCTCCCACTGACACCAATGATGGGGGCACTATTCCTCCCACTGACACCAATGATGGGGCATTATTCCTCCCACTGACACCAACGATGGGGCATTATTCCTCCCACTTACACCAACGATGGGATACTATTCCTCCCACTGACACCAATGATGGGGCACTATTCCTCCCACTGACACCAATGATGGGGCACTATTCCTCCCACTGATACCAATGATGGGGCACTATTCCCACTGACACCAATGATGGGGCACTATTCCCAAACTGACACCAATGATGGGGCACTATTCCTCCCACTGACACCAATGATGGGGCACTATTCCTCCCACCACCAATGATGGGACACTACCACTGATGATGGGGCACTATACCTCCCACTGACACCAATGATGGGACACTATTCCTTCCACTGATACCAATGATGGGGCAATATTCCTCCCACTGATACCAATGATGGGGCACTATTCCTCCCACTGACACCAATGATGGGGCACTATTCCTCCCACTGACACCAATGATGGGGCACTATTTCTCCCACTGATACCAATGATGGGACACTATTCTTTCCACTGATACCAATGATGGGACACTATTCCTCCCACTGACACCAATGATGGGGCACTATTTCTCCCACTGATACCAATGATGGG